AGAACTGTCAGCTCTGCTGCTCCCAGGGTAGGGGAAGCCACTAAAGGAGGAGAAAGGGAGCTGAAGGCTGGACACTCAGAAGGCACTCAGCGAATGGGTGCTGAATGAGTCAGCACCATCTGTTACTCTCCAGACTCCCCATACCGAGCTTCCCCCTAAAACTGAGTGTCACAATAAAGTTTGCCTCCTCTGAAGAATTCACATTTCCTCATATTAGATATCTAATTCTTCCCACCGGATGCTCTGAGCTAGATTTAGGACTTAGCTGCTGTGCTTTATACAACTCACTCTCAATCTGAGATCCCAGGACTCACATTTATTACCCTTTAAGCATTACACTAAACAACTGAATCCATTTAACAGATTGTCATTCATATTCAATGTCGAGCTCCTACTCCATGCTAGAGCCATGTTAGGCAATCAAGATACAATTAAAAATGCTGTGGCCCCACTACCGTCAAGGAGCTCCCACTCTGGTATTCTTTGACAAGTCACTTCAGAAGCAGGTAATTCCAGGCACAGAAGAGACACACATTCTCCCTTCTTCTCCAGTAACCACGGGGATGTGACATCTTATTCCCTGCACTGCTGCAAACAGCTGATGGTGCCACAGTTCCTGTACCCACTGCTAGCTTTCTTCCTTGCCTCCTTTCATTCATCCTCTCAAACATTATCAGTGATTGTTTCTTCTCTTCCGTCAAGTTAATCTTTTTGTTGTTGTTGTTCTTCAATGAGCTCAGCCCTCCAGAGCACACACAGCAGGAGGGTTATGGGTTTGGGCTCAGGTGCTTGCCTGCCTGGGTGAATCACTTCCAGCTCTGCTTGTCACTGGCTGAGATACCTTGGGCAAGTTACTAAGCTTCTCAAAGCTTCATCTGTGAAATGGAGAGAGCCATCCTCAAGAAACTCTTCTGAGGATCACATGAGTTCACTGCATAAAAGCCTAACTAGCACACCGCCTGGAAATAAAAGTATGTACCCAACAGTGAGCTGCTGGTATTGTAGTGGCTGATATATTACTAGTGTTTTTCCCCCTGATTCCCGTGCCAGATTCACCAAAACCTGCCAGAGTTCTCTTTTCCTTCCTGTTCTCCTAAGTTAACAATCACGGGGTGTCAGGATCAATCTTTATACCTCCAAGTCCTTGGCCCTTGATGCTCACCACCTATTGCAATGACTTTATAGTATTGACTTTAGGTTCTGAGCTGTCCAGGATGCCAGATCCCAAGTCACTGAGCATAAATGTGTAGTGTATATGTGCAGGTGGGCAAAGCAGTTTTCATGCCTTCAAATATAGACACCTAGAGAAAGACTGTCCAGGCACTCCCTTTGCACTGGGATGAATCACTTTGTCTGGGGTACTCCAAATAACCATATTGTCTGAAATAAAATGTTTCTTCTATCCTTGCCCTTCTGAAATGGAAAAAAACTGTATCAACTTTTCCCCCACATTCTTTGGTTACTCCACTCTGACACGTGTTCACAACTGTCAGTAAAAATCAACCCATTAATAAAATGACAGAAGTGTCACAAAGAATATTGTAATGGGCTCAATTAATGCAAACACAAAGGGTTCAGCCCAAGTCTTGGAGTAATGAAATGCTAATATTATTCACAGATGAAAGATTACTGACAGGTCCTCACTTTGCAATCAAAAAATGAAAAATGAAAAATCGGTCTGGGGTAGGAAATAGCATTTGAGGACACCTCTGTTCAACCTCACATTGCTCTCAGCTTGATAACTAGAGCTGACAGCTCTACTGCTTCCAGGGTAAGGAAATCACAGAAGGAAGAGAAAGGACACTTGAGGCTGGCAAGGGAAATCTTCACGCCTGACCCACTGGTTCCCTCTCACCAGCTCTCTCACAGCTGACAAGAACAGGCAAGTGGTGGCCAACGACTTCCCCCTACACCTCCTTCTCCGTACATCACAGCTGAAGTCAGTGCAGAGAGACGATGAGACTCTCACACCGTCAAAGCAGGTGGTGACGTGGCCACAATATGGCCTCCAAGGCACCGTCATCTGACCCACCCACCTCTCCAGCCACACTGGCACCCTCCTCCCCTCGTCCTGTCTGTTCGAGATCATGGCCCTCTTTTCTGAACCTCAACCTGCCCACTTTTCTGATCTTTGACCTGCCCAGTTTTCTGATTCTCAACCTGCCCACTTTTCTTAGCCTGTAAAAGCTCTTTGTTCTCACTGTTCCCCTAGGCAGTCAGTAGGCATCCAATAAACACTGAATGAGCCAATCAACCACTGGGCCTATGAATGGCTCAGAGGGTCAAGCAGCCAGGGGCTGTCTTCTCAAGGCCCTCTGAGCTCAAGCTACTGATGAGCACGCCTGCCTTTTCTCTAATCTGCTCTGATCTAACCAAGCCCTGTACCAACTGCCCTGGTTTCCCCAAAGGAACAGAATCTTCTCACCCACTTTCACCCTTCCAGCCCACCAGCCCTTCATTCATTCATTCATTCCATAAGCAGAGATATTCCTAACGTAGTTTGCATATATTGGTCCCCCCAAAGCTCATGCTGAAATCTTCTCCCCAATGGGGCAGTGCTGGAAGCTGTTTCGGTAAGGGGGATGGATCTTTCATGAATAGATTAATGCCTTCAGAGGGTGGGAGAGGAGGAATGAGTGACTTCTCACTTTGCTCTATTAGTTCTCATGAGCGCGGGTTGTTTAAAGAACCCCAGCAGCTCCCCTCTCTCTCCCTTGCTTCCTCTCACCACGAGATCTGCTTGTACCTTCTGGCTGCTCTGCTCTTTTCCACTATGAGTAGAAGCAGCCAGAGGCTGGCTCCAGATGCAGCTGTCCCAGAATCATGAGACGAAAAACGTTTTTTCTTTAGAAATTACCCAGTCTTGGGTATTCTGTTATAGCAACACAAAAACAGACTAATATAATGCCCATCCTCGGAGAACCTAAAAATACTTCCATTCAAGGGTTACTGAGCATTTACCACTTGCCAGTAAATGTCTATTGAGTACACAGAGATGGAAAAGACACAGTCCTACATCCCAGGGACTCAGAGTCCACCAGGAGAAACAAACACACAGTTTGTCACAGTCTTGAGGGTGGGGAGCCTGTTTCCCTCTCCACTTGGACTTTCCAGGCATAAAGGATGGCCCAGCACCCTGGCACTGCTACCAGCCAACTCTGAGCTTGTGACGCCACTAAATGAGTCTCTGAGGAAAGGACAGTCTCCACAGTCCTTGGGCCTCCCCAGCCTGGCTTTTGACACCTCCCACCAGCCTGTTTTGCTAAGATCTCAGTTTGCTTTGCTTTAAGCTCACTTGAGTTAGAACACGAGATGCTTTGAAAGTCACTCTCCTCTTTGGAGTTTATTTAGGAACCAGACAAAACAGACCACAGGAATGGAAGCCAGAACAAGAATGAGCTTACAGGGTCCTCTTCCAAGGCCCTGACTCTGAAACCTACTCCAGCTCAGGCATGTCTCCATAACAACTAGTGGGTGTTTTTCTGATCATAAAGATAACATTTATTCATTGGAGAATATTTAGAAAGTACCAGTAGTATACTTGTATACTTATATCTATATGTGTATAAATAAAGACATGATTTGTAATACTACCACCAAGTGACCACAACATATACACACACCTAATCAAAAACCTCACCTCCCAACTTTATCATTGAATATGGTGATAGTGAACATTTCTTGATAAAAAGCTCTTTATCACTTCAAAGAAGTACCTTTATCTCTCATTCTTCAAGAATATCAGGTATTCATGACAAACACTATCAAATGGCTTTTTAGTACCTAACAAGGTAAAATATCTAGGTTTTCTCCTTTAACCTATCAATGAGATAACTGACACGGATGACTTTGCTAATATTAAGCCACCCTTGAAATTCTAAATAAACCCTACTTTTTATGTGCACTGTTCCTTTAATATGCAACAGAACTTGACTGGGTAATATCTGTAATTTTTGCATGTACACACAATTGAGACCAGTCCACCGTTTTCTTTATGATGCTATCTTTCTCAGGGTTTTTTTTTTTTTTTTTTTTTTTTTTTTTTTTTTCCTTG